TAACAATCAACCAGAGAACTGGTGCTAAAGTCAACAATGGGGAAATCCTTAAAAATCAAGAATGAAGAGATAAAAATTTTGAAAGACATTCCATTTGAAGTAAGTAAATGGAGGAAATTATACAGGATGCTTACTCTCTCCCTGCAAAAAAAGGGAACACCGTATAGATGGCTATTCCCGAAAGGGCTGAGTTTTAATTACCAGGATAAAAAATATATAATTGACTCTGTTCCAAAAGCGGAAAGATTTATGGATCAAATGTTTAATGTAAAAAAGAAGCAGAAGGAAAAGAACCTAAAACCGGATGTGGAGGAGGAAGAAGAAGAGGAGTCCTACTCACAGGACTCAACAAGCCAAATTTCCTTGTCATCAGAATCATCTGAATCAGAGAAAGGAGTGGCCGCTCCCAAATTGCAGAAAACGAAGAAATCTAAGAAGAAAAGACTCTAAAACTAAAGCATGAGTGCTAAGGGCAGTAATTGTGCCAAGCTAATAATTTTATATTTGTATAATCGAACTAATCTCTGTATAACCTGTATTAATAGGTTAAAAAGATTTATTCTTTTAGCTTTTCAGATCATGATTTGTATTTGTCTTCACCCTATTCCCATATCCAGTAGGAGATTTAGAATAGAGTGGTAGTTTTCCTTCCCCTGTCCAGTAGACTTTATGTATCTAGATCTCCCTGTCCCATTTCCCATAGTAATAGTGATAGGGCTTTAGTATTCCTTACCACATCCCATTTTTGTAGTGCGTAGAAAATGCAAAATAAAAAAATTCCCCTTTGGGGGGGCGGGAACAAAAAAAAGAACTCTCGGAAATTTTCCATCTCTAACCAGTGTTCCCTCTAAGCTGAGTTAGTGTGAGCTAGCTCAACAGGTTTTTAGCCTCTGGCTCACACATTAGCTCAGGAAGGATGGCTTCCTTCATCTCGTCCCCCAGGGGGTTTCATGGCTAAATCGCTCGCTCACAACTTTAATGCCAGTAGGTCACAAAGTAGAATTTTCGCTCACAGCTCTACAGCTTAGAGAGAGCACTGTCTCTAACCCTTAATTTTAAAAGCAGAACGTCACAGTCACCCCTCCCCCCGCCGCCAAATAATAGACCTACTTTCCTGCCTTATGCAATTTTTCTTCATAACTCATTTCAGAGACACAGTCACGCTCCATTACCAGCAGAACATCAATACAAGAGAAAGCTGGCGTCTCCTTCCCCGCCTAGAGGTATTAATATTTGAATATCCACTGAAGAATAAGTTCCCACACAGCAACAAGAGCACCTGTCTAGTTAATTGCGGTGTGCATTTATCCACCTTAAACACAATAGGGATTATGATCTTTCGAATCTAAGTTGCCAAAAATATCTGACATTTGGTTTCAAGCCAGCTAAAGCGTTGCCCTTAGAAACACCAAACCTGAAGCATAAAGAGCTGAGCCTTCATCAAATGGTGGAGGAAGCTGTGAGGGGCTCAGCCATACTCAACTTAATATCGACCAACGAGCAAGAGACAGTAGAGGGGGTGATCGTGGTGGGGACCTGTTGGGTATTACAAGTTGAAAACACTCAGTATATCTAGGGTTAAATGTTTGTTTATGTTACTCACAGGAAGTCACATGTTTCTCATGTAACCAATGTTCTTTAGCTGTAGAAAGCCCGGGAATTTTCTCCCTGATCTAGGAATTTGATTGGGACTAAAGTGTCAAGGTGTATTACCATTTTATGGCTTCTCTTCCCATCTTTGTTTGGTGTTCTGAAAAAGAAGAAGAGTAGCCATACTCTCTCTCTTCTAGTTTTATCTTTGTAGAGTAAGGATGTAGCCGATTTCGCTCTGTTGTTAATTTTCATCCCAGTTACCCTTTCCCATGCTAGAATTTAGTAAAAACTTTATATTTTAATCACACATGGACTCTCAGTCTGAATTATTTTACTCTGGCTCTGCTGGGCTATCTTATCTCTGCTAAATACCATTTTTTCAATATCTCACCATCACCCAACAGGACCTTAGGGGGAAGTGACACTGATCAGAGCTACTCTAGGCTAATCCCGCATTGAGCAGGGGGTTGGACTAGATGACCTGTATGATCCCTTCCAACTCTGTGACTCTATGATCTAATTCCCAGGAGACACCAAGCAAGATACCAGAATTGTTGCTGAAGGATAAGAGGCCTGTCCACTTGATGACTTAGATAAGAACCATGGATACTTTATTTTACATGTTATAACAGCAGCTAGAATTTTATTTGCAACGGCATGGAGGACATTAACAATTTTTTAAATGGACCATATTAATTTTCTAATAGCAAGAAAGCGTTCCTGGCCATTGTTGGGGAAGACCAATATGATCTCAGAATATCCAGCCACACCTCACATTATACTAAAAGTGAATGAAAACAGATATTCTGCCCATCCCATTGCTACCGGCTCTTTCCTGATCCAATTCCACCTGATCCAATTCCAGCTCTGCATGGGCATCTTGGCTCTGAGTGGCCCCTCTAAGTGCCTTGTAAATAGCCCTTGAGGAAATTCCATTTCCGTTTGTCTGAAGAAGTGTGCTTTGCACAAGAAAGCTCACATTTTGAATAAAACTCTGTTGGTCTTAAAGGTGCCCCTGGACTCAAACTTTGTTCTATGCTTACCTGAGTCTGTGTTGAGGCGTCGCGAAGACAGGTGTAGCGCAGAATGGTAGCTACGCCGTCGGGACTTGTAGGTGTTTTCACTGCTTTTTTCCATGGAGAACTCGTCTAACCAGGAAGTGTTAGTCCGCTTGTCTCGGATGGTAGAAAACGAGCGCCTCATGGAGCCAGGATCGGTGACCACCTGGAAACGCATCCCGTGAGAGCATGATGGTTAAAGCTGGGCAAAGGCTTGGCTGCTATACAAGAAGCAAGTTTGCTCTTATGGATGATGATTAAGTTCTTTTTAAGGACACTGGAAGTTACCTAGACTCAGGTGGGCAGCCCTGTTGGTCTGAAGCAGCAGGACAGAGTTGGAGTCCGAACGGCACCTTTAAGACCTTCAAGGTGTGCAAAAAAGTTTTATTTAAAATAAATAAACTTTTGTTGGTCTTAAAGGTACCACTGGACTCTAAATCTGTTCTTAGCCTCAAACTGACCGTATTTATATAATGCTATGTGCATATGAAACAAAGCATACAAGAGGGAAGGCAACGTTTTTTTCCTGGATTGACTCCAGTTGATGGAAAAAACACCCACTCTTAAGTTACACAGGTGGGACTGAAAGAAACCACATTCTTATTCTGCATACCAGTGCAAATATTTTAATGCCTTTGGGTAGAAGAGAAGCCATCACTGATCATTTCGAACAAGTAGAATATAATAGGTAAAGGTAAAGAGAAAGGTTTCCCTTGCTCGAAAGCCAGTCGAATCTGACTCTAGGGTTGCGGTGCTCATCTCCGTTTCCAAGCCAAAGAGCCAGCACTGTCCGAAGACGTTTCCGTGGTCATGTGGCCAGCATGACTAAAGACCAAGGCGCACGGAACGCTGTTACCTTCCCAATGAAGCGGTACCTATTTATCGACTTGCAATTTCTTGCTTTCGAACTGCTAGGTTGGTAGGAGCTGGAACCAGAGACGGGAGTTCACTCTGTCACGCGGCACTCAGGTCTCAAGCTGCTGAACTACCGACCTTCCAGCCTGCAGTTCAGCGTCTTAACCACTTGAGCCACCCCAGCTCCCACAATATAATAGCAGGCAGCAAAGTGACATGGTTTCAAGAGCAGCAAAAACCCACTGGAATTTTCACTAGGAACACCAAAAGTAATCCCTAGGCCCAGGACTTTGAAGAGTTATTCTACACATTTCATAACTCTAAAAAGCAAAGGATGTTGTAATATTGAGAGAGAGAGACTCACTCAAGAATGACAGG